ATGTTGCTACACTACTCACATTCGTATGTTGCTACACGACTCACATCCATATGTTGCTGTATGACTCACATCCATATGTTGCTACACTACTCACATTCGTATGTTGCTACACGACTCACATCCGTATGTTGCTGTATGACTCACATCCATATGTTGCTACACTACTTACATCCATATGTTGCTACACTACTCACATCCGTATGTTGCTACACGACTCACATCCATATGTTGCTACATGTCTCACATCTGTATGTTGCTACATGACTCACATCCGTATGTTGCTACACGATTCACATCAATATGTTGCTACATGACTCACATCTGTATGTTGCTACATGACTCACATCCGTATGTTGCTACATGACTTACATCCATATTTTGCTACACAACTCACATCCGTATGTTGCTACACGACTCACATCCATATGTTGCTACATGACTCACATCTATATGTTGTTACATGACTCACATCCGTATGTTGCTACAGGAAAGATGCATGCTGTCAAAGCATAGTCCTTGGTCCTTGACCTTTGCATGCACATCCGTTTCACACATGCATCAATTTATCTCCAAATGGCGTAGAACCAGTCATTCTGCCTATCTATTCGTTCCCTTGTGTAACTTTGAGAATATATCCAAAGGATGCTAACTACCCGAGATCTCTTCATTACTTTATATCTTCATGACTCGTTTAATCTTTCTATGGTGTTCTTATTATTCATTATTACATAATAAGAATAGAGGTACTGGTAGGTCGTGTGGGGGAGGGGGGGGGGTCTGTGTGCAAAAGCGAAAAATATATTGTTTGGCATCTTGACATGGAAAAACATCTGCATCATAAAAGAAATGTAAGTACATGCGAAAGAAGGCTGTAGAGAGACACGATGACCAACCCGACTACACATGCCATGGACGGACTGAAAGAAACGCTTATATTGGTATAGCAAGAGAAACACCATAATTTCTGCACCCTTTGTGTGTGTGTGTGTGTGTGTGGAGTGCATTGATGTGTGATTTATGCAAAGGTGTGTGAATAGGCGTGGGTGTGAATGCGTTTTTGTACGCCGCTCGGATGAGAGTGTGTATGTGGGGGGGGGGGGTGTTTGTGCAGGTGTATGTTCATGTGTGTGTATGAGAGAGAGAGAACGAGAGAGAGAGAGCATGTGTACGTGTATGGGTGTTTATGTCTCCGTTTGTGTGTCCTGGAAGCTGCTTCGTTGTGTTTAATCTGTACATTTTGATTTGTTGTCACTAAGGCTACTGCTTGGTCGGACTATTCCGATACTGGTTTGTTTACGATATTAGTGTCGATTTCTTCCTCTTCTCCTCCTCCACCTTTTTTCTTCTTCTTCTTCTTCTTCTTCTTCTTCTTCTTCTTCTTCTTCTTCTTCTTCTTCTTCTTCTTCTTCTTCTTCTTCTTCTTCTTCTTCTTCTTGGTCTGCCTCTTCTTCTCTTTCCCTCTACTGAGCCCTGCAGCATTGTTTTTGAGAGGCTGTTAGATCTTATTATTAGATCTTATCAGTTGATGTGAAAAGCTTGTAAGCCTTACAGTTACAGGCGTCGAACAACAATCATCATCATCATCAGGTGCCTTGCCGACTGGCGTGGGCGATCATGCCTCTCCATAATCTGCGATCTCCTGCAGCATGTATCAGCTCGTGTGCAGACATACCTCCATGCCGTGCAACAAGACTGTCAAGAATCTTTTCTCGTTCTCTTCCTCTATCCCTCCTTCCACAGATCTTTCCAGTGGTCACAACATGTTCTGTTTTCTCTCTTCTCATAACATGGCCGAAAATTAATGACTGTCTCCTTCTGATGTCTGTGATAAGTTGTCTTCGGGCTCCCGCCTCTTTCAAAACCTCTTGGTTGCTCTTGTTAGCCGTCCAAGGTATTATAAGCATTCTTCTTCTTCTGCGTTCGACATCAGTCATGCTAAACATTGAGTCCCGCCTAGGTCACAAATAGCACTGTGCGTAAAACTTAGGCCTGAACCATGGACAAGCAAGCCAGAGAAGGCAAATGTAGTCCTAAAGGTACCAGGGATCACTTCAAAAAATTTCCAGACGGAGACACAACAGAGAACCCTGGCTCTTGCTATGCTTGATGATAAGTATCCAAACACCACTTGGACTCACCAACGGCTCTGCTACAGATGCAGTCAGAAAGGGGGATTGTGGAATATACATTAAACCCCCTAGCAGTAGAGCAGAAACTCTCTCTCTCTCTCTCTCTCTCTCTCTCTCTCTCTCTCTCTCTCTCTCTCTCTCTCTCTCTCTCTCTCTCTCTCTCTCTCTCTCTCTCTACCAGCAGGTGACATCTGCACTAACTTTAGAGCTGAGGCAACTGCCCTCCTTTCTGCAGTCCAACATCTCATCACTCAAGAACACAGAGGGCACAAAATTGTTATACTTGGTGACTCATTGTCTGTTCTCCAAGCACTATCAAACAAAAAAAAAAAAAGACAAACTAATTTCAGATCTAAGGACCAACATTGGCTTACTCTCCAAGGAAGCAGAACTGGTCTTGCAGTGGATACCAGCCCACTGTGGTATTCAAGGAAATGAGAGAGCAGATGAGTTGGCAAAAGCTGGGAGTAATCTTCCACAACCTCATCCACCACACAGCTACAAGGAAGCATTCTTCTGTAAAACCACATCTCTGAGGCCTCTAGAAATTGTTTGACCTGCCTACCGATTGTCTAGGATTCACAGACATATGTTAAAACTGGATGTATGTAGCAAGCAAGAAACAATATTAGAACAACAATAGACTCATTAATGATTATTTTGTGTCACAGCAAAAATAGCAACGAGGTATCGCCGTGCTTACTACGTCGATACTTCGGTGGTGATGATATTGAGAAGTCCACTATTGCGGAGCCTAGCAACGTTGCTAAAGATGACTGACTCCCATTCTAACAGTAACGCTTTGTGTTGTCAGTCAACTTAGGGGTTGTACTTCCTTCTTAGTACAGTTTTACTTTCAGCGATCTTAATTGTTTCCTATAGTATTCGCCCGGTACACTTTTCTTCCTGGTTTAATAACTGGGAATTAATTCTGTTTAGACATAAGAATCGCTGAACGCTACAAAAGTTGCTGAACACATTCGTTCGTAATGGCGGGCAAGAAAAAAGGCGGCAAAGGAAAAAAGGGAAAAGGTAAAAAGGGAAAGGGGAAAGCAGCCAAATTAGTACCTCCAGCAGCTGCGCCAAAGCTCGATGAAGGAACTAAAATATTCTACCTTGTGCAGATTCGAAACCTCGAGGAGAGAGTTTGGAGGTAAGTCGATCATTCATAACAAACTTGTCAGTGAGCACGTCTTTTAGAACTAACTTTCAGCTATGTGGGAATATACTTCCATCAGTCTAAACTGGTTGAATCAGACGGAGCTGAAACCAAGGAGGAAACATCAGAAATGAAAGTGCAAGAAGAACACAGTTGACAACAGGATAGGAAATGAGCGGTCTGACTTGCAGGAAAGAAGTATTAGGCCCAGAGACGTCGCAAATATCAGAACTTTAGCCACGAAAGGGGCGCAAAAAACAAGACCACAAATATAGCCAGAGACTGTTGGCAACTTCGGCTAGCTAGCAGCAGGTTGAACGTGGTTGAATTGGAATTGGCTCGGGTGGCAAACTCCTTGTGGTCCGAGTTCATGCTCGGGGCTAGGCAAAAAAAAAGCCACATATTTCCCAGATTCACTATCATGGAGTTGAGGCTGACGGGTTGTGATATCCATGGTACTGAGCCAAAAGGTGAACAACTGATCGTTTCTCGATCAAAAATAAAAATAACAAATAAGTCTATTAGGTTTCCAAAATGAATGTTGACTTCAAGACACTTTAACTTTCACCCTGAAAATACTCAGATTTGCTTTTCGTTCCTCATGATGTTATCTCCCCTCTTGAATCACCTTCTCTTGCTCACACGCATTCAACTGTTGCCTCCAGTTTTGTTTTTTATAGATAGCTCAAAGTTTAGAGGTTGGCCTGTAGGAGTACGTGAACACCATGCAATAGAGAGAACATACCACCTCGGTCTAGAGTACCCTAGAGATAGCTGTACAAAATACCAGAGAATGAGGTAGACACGGCATAGGGATAGGGGTGGTGAGCAAGAATACACCCACTGCCTCCTTAACAAGCATCGGAAAAGCTTTTAGCGATTTTCTTCGAAGACGGAGTGCATCTGAATGAGAGGCAAGGAACCAGCCGTCTGTATACCCCTATCCCACCCACAATGGGGTCCCGAAACCCACACGGGGATGAAATAAAATTTCATTTTCAAAAACGGCTGGCCGAGTGACTAGAATGCTGTCAGACCCAGGTTGATGCCGAAGATCCGGTTCGAATCCTCACTAAGGTGAGATAAATTGTGTGTGGATGCAAAAATAAACACCCCAGCCTGTACAGATCGAGGCGATGCACTAGCCATGCGGAACTACACCCTGAGGTTCAAGACCTCCCTCTCACACACTGCCGTTAAAATGGGTAAATAAGCAGTTTAAAAAAAAAAAATAACATTTTACAACAAAATGGCAATTTGGCACCACGAGGACACCCACTTACCAGACAAATTAAATAGTAAAGTAAAGCAAAGGGCCCGTTTTCACGCCATCGTGCGTATTGGGCATAAAGGGCTAGATCTCTATTTTATAGACCGATCGACGCTTGGTGGCTGAAGTGGCCAATATCACACCGGTCACCTTTACTTCCCAGGAAATTGAAAAGCATCAGTGACAACCGTAGGCCCACTCTCTTTGTTATGACTGCTAAATGTACTGCTAAAGAATATAAAAAGGAAGAATAAAACAGCGTCAAATCTAAAGGTTTCAATCACTTTCTACCTTTCTTTTGTCTAATATCATCTGCTTTGTTAACGCTGGGTATCACCGGCGAACAGAAGATAGTAGGCTGAGCTCGGAGGCGTTTGTGTGTTGTGATGTTATCAAGTATTAGACTCAAAGTGCGGGGCTGCGTGGTGTCCGCATCGAGTGCTAGAGGTTCCGGGTTCAATCCCCGGTAAGGGTTGGGATTTTTTTCACTGAACTTGGACTTCTCGTAATTCCCCTCGTTTCTGAGTAGTAAGATCGGACGCCCATGTGCACTGTTGCGCATGTAAAATATCCCTTGGCAGTTGGAAATCGAAAAGAGTAGCCTAACGGCACTGCCTGGGCAAAATTTGGAGTCTAAATATTCTAAATAGAATCTAAATATTTCAGAATCCTCGCCGGATCTACAGAGTTAAATAGTTGTGATTCTTTATGCATATCCTTCCGTCGGTGGCTTTGCGGTCATGAACACAGTTTCCTAATTACGATATACTTGGTCTGATCGGAAAAATTTAGTTTGGCTGCATACTGCCAAATGTTTATTTTGATAACCGCATGAGCTTCCACTGTTTAAGTTTCCATGGCAAACTAGTGAGCAAGTAAATTTTACACCACCACAGAGCGATAAACACACGGTGACACAAAGTGCCACCATGCAGAAAAGGATCACCAGTGCAGATGTCCCGGAAACCCCGTTTAACCCTTAGGTTATATAGCGGCCCCTCTCAACAGCCAGAGTGGTACTTCAAAATAAAAATTTCATTCCACAAGGGGGATGGCGTAGACGAGTGAATGCCAAACTTCTGAACACAAAATTAGCTAAAAAAAAAAACCACAATCAACAGATTCTGGGACTATTTTACGACTCTTCGTAAAAGAGATCTAACTTTTTTATGCATCCCACACAGTTACTAGGCTGGCCCCTAAACACCGGCCGGATCGCCGGACTACCCAGCAGACAGTTACATGTGTATGAGGCTTGATCACAAGCCAGCAAACAGTTACATGTGTATGAGGCTTGATCACAAGCCAGCAAACAGTTACATGTGTATGAGGCTTGATCATAAGCCAGCAAACAGTTACATGTGTATGAGGCTTGATCACAAGCCAGCAAACAGTTACATGTATTACGTCGGTAATCCAGACCGAATAGGATAGCCGGCATGAGTTTTTGTTTGGCTCTCGCCGTTTGCGTTTTCTCCGTGAATTTGGTTTGTGGTGAACTAACCAGGTCATTCTGGCCGGAATCATTGCAGCCGATCAACGCCCAGCCAAGAGTGAAAGTAAAGGACCCGTTTCCACGTCTGCAGTCGCATTGGGCATATAGGGTCAGACCTATATTTATATACACCGCCTTCTCCAGAATCCGGATCTCTGTACTTCCCTTGAGTATACCTGAGGGTCAAGGTTGGGTCAGCCTGGGTACCAAGGTCATTTCTGCAAAGAACAAAAGTCCGTTACTTAACCAGGAGGCCCAAACAGTACGCTTTGATCTTAGCCCAAAGGCCTAGAGCGGTAAGTTCATATGCTTCCCCTTACAGTCCTTGTCTAGCTTCTGCGGCACTCATGTTTTTAAGAGATGTTGCTGCTATTCTTATTTGTATTTCGTTTTTCCAGATACCAGAAAAGGTGCGATGAACTGGAGGTCGCCAACAGTCAGTTTCATGAAAAGTTTGAGCAGATGGCCACAGATAAAAAGGAGATTGTGGCTTTCTGGAAAAAACAGCTTGAACAAAAAAGTAAGCTTCATTTTCAGAAATGTTATCAGTTATATATGTTTCTTTATTTCTCTCTACCTTTTCTGTCACGGATATCAGTTATATTTATATCTCTTTCTTTCTTTCTCATTCTGACCCTCTGTTTAGTATTTGATACTCTCTTTTACTTAACTTGTTATGGTCTGAATGGTTTGATATGCACTAAGAAGGGTTTGTTGACTAAAAACTTCAGTTTGAGTTGAGCTAGGTTCAGAACTGATGTGACAGTCCTTAAGATATTTCTGTAAGTGCTGCATCCTAATCTTCAGCAGCCATTGAAGTGTTACAGTTCTAAAGACGACCGCAGTAGTTTGATCATATTTCCTTCTTGCCTTTCTTCTGAGTGTAGAGTGTGAACCAGATCCCCTAGTCACCCCTAGCTACACCATTTTCTCTCCAGACCATAATGATCTATTCATGCTTCTGCATTGTTCACTTGCTCCTGAAGGGCCCTGACCAGATGTAACTTGTCATGCATCAGTTCACCACCAAGTTATGTAAAACCAGCCAATCTTTTCGTTTGTTCATTCCCCAACACAGCTGCTTGCCGTCAGAGAAAACATCCGAAGGATGCTAACTACACATGACCTCTGATGTGACGCTTGCCACTCTGTACAGATCATGAGTGTCTCCACCTGTTCCTGCATGCTTTGTGAGTCGGTCACAATTACATGTGTAAGAGGCTGGATCACAAGCCAGCTGACAGTTACATGTGTAAGAGGCTGGATCACAAGCCAGCTGACAGTTACATGTGTATGAGGCTGGATCACAAGCAAGCTGACAGTTACATGTGTATGAGGCTGGATCACAAGCCAGCTGACAGTTACATGTGTATGAGGCTGGATCACAACTCAGCAAACAATGACATGTGTATGAGGCTGGATCGCAAGCCAGCTGACAGTTACATGTGTATGAGGCTGGATCACAACTCAGCAAACAATGACATGTGTATGAGGCTGGATCACAACTCAGCAAACAATGACATGTGTATGAGGCTGGATCACAACTCAGCAAACAATGACATGTGTATGAGGCTGGATCACAACTCAGCAAACAATGACATGTGTATGAGGCTGGATCACAACTCAGCAAACAATGACATGTGTATGAGGCTGGATCGCAAGCCAGCTGACAGTTACATGTGTATGAGGCTGGATCACAACTCAGCAAACAATGACATGTGTATGAGGCTAGATCGCAAGCCAACAGACAATTACATGTGTATGAGGCTGGATCACAAGTCAGCAAACAATTACATGTGTATGAGGCTAGATCGCAAGCCAACAGACAATTACATGTGTATGAGGCTGGATCACAAGCCAGCAGACAGTTACATGTGTATGAGGCTGGATCACAAGCCAGCAGACAATTACATGTGTATGAGGCATTGTCGTGTCATATGCTGTTTTCTTTCACTTTGTACTTGTATGTATACACTGATCAACATGCCATGCTATATATTAATCATTCTCCCCTAGTCTCGACTTCAGGTTAATTTGTAACAATGGGGGGGGGGGGGGGCACCTATATAACCTTACACATGTAGAATCCTCATCCTCAAGGTGTTAATCTAGCAAGCTGCAATACTGGAGTGGACTAATTGCAGTGCAGTTCTATATATGGACCTGTGGGGATCACAGTGATTAGAATACTTGCTGCCGACCCAGTAGTTATGTGTTTGAATTCCTGCTGCAGTGGATATATTTTGTTAAAACAATATTGACCTGAGTTCACATGATCACATTCCTCATTAAGTACCCGCTGGTCTGTAACAGTACAGAACTAGGGCACTATACCGGGTACACATCTGTAACAATACAGAACCCGGGCACTATACCGGGTACACATCTGTAACAATACAGAACCTGGGCACTATACCGGGTACACATCTGTAACAATACAGAACCCGGGCACTATACCGGTTACACATCTGTAACAATACAGAACCCAGGCACTAAACTGGGTACACATCTGTAGCAATACAGAACCCAGGCACTATACCGGGTACACATCTGTAACAATACAGAACCCGGGCACTATACCGGGTACACATCTGTAACAATACAGAACCCAGGCACTATACTGGGTACACATCTGTAACAGTAAAGAACTAGGGCACTATACCTAGTACACATCTGTAACAATACAGAACGCAGGCACTATACCGGGTACACATCTGTAACTATACAGAACCCAGGCACTATACTGGGTACACATCTGTAACAATACAGAACCCAGGCACTATACCGGGTACACATCTGTAACTATACAGAACCCAGGCACTATACTGGGTACACATCTGTAACAATACAGAACAAGGGCACTATACCCAATACACATCTAGGTCTGGATTAGGGATCGTCTACATTCGACTTCCTTTGTTGTATGAGTAAACATTTTGATTGTTAGTTTTGTTAGGACACCTGTGAAAGTATTTTCATACTTTTTTCACAACAGGATCTCTGTGTATGACATGTTATTATTGAAAGTATTTTTCTTAAAGACCAAAATATTGAAACCGATGCATTCTTCATGTACATGTCTAAGTGTTTAATATTCATTCCAAGTCACTTGTCATCCCGTGTTAATGTGTCAGTTAATTAGAAGGAAAGAACTAGTTACTTGCATCGGAAGCAGGCTAGCAACTTCTTTGGACGTGACATGAGAAGAATACATTTGGAATACATCATGAGAAGAGAGTAAGAGGGTAAGAGGGGCAGGGAGAAACCATGAGTGAATGGACATTTGAGCGTCAGCTCATGAAAGAACACTTGTATCCAAAAAAGATTGGCAGTAGTTTGGACAGAAGGCTGTGGAATTATATGATGACCAGTGCCATTAGGCACAATCTATCCGAAGAACAGTGTTATTTGGAATTACATGATAATGCTCATTAGCAACCATCTGTATCCATTCCTTTAGCTTTCAGAAGTCATCTTAAATAGAAGCCCATCCAAATGTATGCCAACGTTTGGACTTGAAACTCACCTTTGTAGCGATTAACTTCATTGTTTATAACATTACAGATGTTATAGGGCAAATAGGTTGATTATTTTGTACTGGGTTTTAACCCCTAAATATTGACCTCTTTCAGCTGAGCAGCTCTTTACCCAGCATGCAAGAGTAGTGGACAAAGCTCATAACTTCCCAGTGACTACAAGGGATCTCTGAAGCATCTCCAATGATGAGCTAAAAACTGAAGTCTGAAATCAAACCTAGTCTTCAGAGTATGATAAATGGCTTAACCTAGTGCACAGTTGTAGACTGTAAGGGAGGGGGACGGTTTTCTCACACTGCAGTAAATGATTATTTGGAGGAAAACATTGTTGAAGAGTGTCATCATTCTCCAGGGTTTTCAGAGTATCATTACTGACACAAAACATGCAAGCTTTAACACAGCATAAAAACATGATTAGTAAGGTAAGGTAAAGTCGTGTCACTCTGGTTCCCATTTCCTAGAGGCTGGGTGAACCCAGGGAACCGCCCGGTTTCGAACACCGACCATGGCTGCAGTGAGTCGCAGCTGGATTTGAAAGCGAGCCTCCTATTGACTGCGCTAACACGGCCCCACATGATTAGTGGTGACAACTTTAATAATATCCAAGAAAAGATTGATGCCAAATTTTTTAAGGCAGTATGTCATCTAGCTTGCCAGTGGCATTGTATGCTTTGGTTGAGGATGGCCATAAAGACGATGATGCCAATGATTATGGTGACGGACAAGAAACTCCTACTAAGGTTCTTTCATGCTGTCTTTGTTCCTTTAGTTTTGTACAATGACAAAGAAAATGAAACAAATTCAGTTAATTGACTTTGACAACTCTGCAGTGACTGTCAGCTACAAATGCCTGAAGCAATTGATAGCCATTAACTGTAGTGAATTCAAAAGGAACGGAAACAAAACAAATGACAGGACAACTGCTGGTATCAATAGATATTACACAAAGAAGATAGCATCAGTTTGAGCACACCATGAACAGAAGTGGATAGAGAATCACCAAATGAGCGCTAACAAAAATGAAAACAAATTCAATAAGGAAATGAGGATGCCCTTTAAATGAAAATGAATCTGTGAGGTCAAAGGTAATGGACTGGATTTCATCTGTGGCAGGGATTCCCAAACTGCAATGCGTGCCCCGGGCATATAATTAATTTAACTAAGACACGAATAGTCATACTTATACTTAGGTTAGGGTGTCGTGGACAAATTTTTACTGAAAAAAGGCGCCGCCACCAAGAAAAGTTTGGGAAACATTGATCTAGATTGTGCAGGATAGAAACTAAATGGAGGAACAAACTGTAAGCCCTTTGAGATATTTAAACAGTGCAGTAGAATAATGATGATGTTATTATAGCTATTTAATATGTGAAATGTCGATTATATTTCTCATTGACTGTTTACATTTGAGAAACTTCCAGTTCCAAAAGACTTCACTGTGACAGTTTCACTTTCTCTGCAGCGGATGAAATTGCCGACTTGACCGATCGACATATTGGTCTTCAACAAACAAGGGACAACGAAAGAGAGACCTTTAAGAAACAAATTCAGGAGCAGAGAACTGAATACCAAGAAATGAAGGACCAGCTGACTGCAGAAAACATGATATTAAGTAAGTTAAGAGTAACACGTACAAATGTGTGTAAGCTAAGAGTGACAAAGTAAATGTTAAGTGTCAAAGTTTAGAGCGACATAGTCAGTATTATGTATGCAAGTTAAGAGTGACATAGTCAATATTAAGTATGTAAGTTAAGAGTAACATAGTAAATATAAGTTAGAATAACATAGTATTAAGTAAGTTGAGAGTAAATTAGGAAACATTGTGTGTGTAGGTTATAAGTAATAATGTGAAAATTATGTTTGTTAGTAAGAATAATGTAGTCAATACTGTCATCATCATTTAGCAGGTCCTTTGCAGCATGTCCCTCTCCTCACAGTCTGCCGGAAAGAAACTCCTACCCAGGCATCACTTATATCATGTGACTATCTTATTGCACCTATTTCCTGGTACCATGTCTTCTGATATTATTTTTTACCAATCTGCCGTGACTCTTGTTATGGCCAAAATGTTTCAGTTTCCGAGAGAAGATGCTGTTGACTAGCCTTTCTTCCATGATTTTCAAATATTTTAGTATGTCAATATTTCTTTTCTTCTTTGTCCGTGGTATTCTGAGAATCTTTCTATAGTATTTCAGCTCAAAAGCCCCTATTCTCTTCCTTACGGACAGTGAGATGGTCCATGACTCACATCCGTTTGTGTGGGAAAGATGCATGCTCTCATCATTTTAACTTTGATTTACTTGCTGGTTCTTAATCATAGACTTTTAATGCTGTTGAAGTATTAAGTGTATAAGCTAGAATAACTTGGTCATTAATAAGATCGTGCAAGTGAAAATAAAAGAGAATATTAAGACTGTAATCCTTGCTAATCAATTAATTATTCAACCAGTCAGACCACCATTACTGAATTTCTTAACTGCTCAGGTGGTAAACTTGCATCCCTGGAGGAGTTTAAGGTGCAGAGGGAAGAGCTAATGGCCAGGTTTGCCCAGATGGAGGAAGAGCTATCCCGGAGGGAATCAGAAAACAAGGAGAACTTGTATATGTTGGAAAAGAAGGCTGTGATGGACAAGGATAGGTATGTGATGCTATCTGACAGATTTAGTGTGTGCTGTCTGACAGTTTTAGTGTATGCTGTCTAAAAGTTTTAGTGTGTGCTGTCTTGACAGTTTTGGTGTATGCTGTCTGACAGTTTTAGTGTATGCTGTCTACGGTTTTAGTGTATGTTGTCTGACAGTTTTTGTGTATGCTGTCTGACAGTTTTAGTGTATGCCGTCTGACAGTTTAGTGTATGCCGTCTGACGGTTTTAGTGTATGCTGTCTGACGGTTTTAGTGTATGTTGTCTGACGGTTTTAGTGTATGCTGTCTGACAGTTTTAGTGTGGGCTGTCTGCCAGTTTTAGTGTGTGCTATCTGACAGTTTTAGTGTATGCCGTCTGACAGTTTTAGTGTATGCTGTCTGATGGTTTTAGTGTATGCTGTCTGGCAGTTTTAGTGTATGCTGTCTGCCAGTTTTAGTGTGTGCTGTCTGAAAGTTTTAGTGTATGCTGTCTGGCAGTTTTAGTGTATGCTGTCTGACAGTTTTATTGTTTGCTGTCTGACAGTTTTATTGTTTGCTGTCTGACAGTTTTATTGTTTGCTGTCTGACAGTTTTAGTGTGTGCTGTCTGACAGTTTTATTGTTTGCTGTCTAAAAGTTTAAGGGTGTATGTTGTTTGACAGTTTTAATGTGTGCTGTCTGACAGTTTTAATGTATGTTGTCTGACAGTTTTAGTGTGTGTTGTCTGACAGTTTAAGTTTATGTTGTCTGACAGTTTTAGTGTATGCTGTCTGACGGTTTTAGTGTATGCTGTCTGACAGTTTTAGTTTATGTTGTCTGACAGTTTTAGTGTATGCTGTCATCAATTATAGTTTGCTATGCCGTCAGCATTGATAGTTTGGTATGCTGTCAGCAGGTATAGTTTTGCGTTATGTTAGTAGGTATAATATTGTTTGCTGACTGCATAGTTTTGTGTGATGTCAGCAGATATAGTTTTGCATGCTGTCAGCAGGTATAGTTTTGTGAGCTGTCAGCAGGTATAGTTTTTTGTTATGTCAGCTAGTATAGTTTTGTATGCTGTCAGCAGTAAGAGTTTTGTGTGCTGTTAGCAGGTATAGTTTTGCATGCTGTCAGTAGGTATAGTTTTGTGTGCTGTTAGCAGGTATAGTTTTGCATGCTGTCAGTAGGTATACTTTAGCCTGCTGTGAGCAGGTATAGTTTTGTCGTCTGCAGTAGGTATAGTTTGCATGCTGTCAGCAGTAAGAATTTTGTGTGCTGTTGCTGATGATGATGATCAGATTTACTCTGTTGCTCTCGCTCACATCTGCTCTAAATGTTTGTCTCATTTCTATCTGTCCAACTTTTATCCTGTCAAATTGTTTCTTGATTTGTCTCTGTGTGGTGTACTCCTTTTAGTCACTTCTTGGTGTTTATTTTGTTTTCTAGAAAGAAAAAAAAGTCCGCACTGTATGTAGTATAGTGGCTAGATGCACCCCTTTTCCCCCCTCCCTAATGGAGACAGAAAGTGAAAGACAGACTGTCACATTTTGAAAGAAACCGAACACAACGAGCTGTGGAGAGGAGACACCGGAGAGTAAAACTGCCTCACAACGAGGGAGTATCTGCTTTTGTGTGTATCGTGTGTGGCAAAATGGCATTCCCACATTGGACTTTACAGTCACAGCAGATGCTGTTCCCAAAGCCAGCGGCACATCTCCATAGTCTCATGGGACTGACGGATGCCATTAAATGGAGGGGGACCTCAACAAACCTGAGCTCCATTTTCCGGCACTCCAAGATGAGGCACCTTATTTATGCTGGTCTTTGTGGACGTATGCAAGAGAAAGGGCTAGAAACTGCTAAAATGTTTTTGGTAATCTGAAGATTTGTATTGAAAATATATTGATAAAACAGAAGATGCACTTCTATGTGTGCCAAAATATGCTCACATGTTTTGTTTCAATAATTCTCCTTGTTTCTGCAGGCTAAAAAAAGAAATGATTCTTCGAGTGAACCAGGTGGCTGCCGAGTTCAGGAAGGTCAGCAATAAGCAGATGGCGGAGACAACCAAGAGAACAATCCGAGAAAATGTCTCCATTAATGCACAGCTGGCCAAAATGTCTGATAAGACAATTGAGCTAATTCAAGAAAATGATGATCTCAGAGAAAAGGGGAGGCAGCATCAACAGCAGATTGAGATCCTGGAAGCCAATGAGAAGGAGATGAGCAGGAAGAATTCTAACAATGCTAAGGTAATGATTACAAATATCTCTTGCTTTATAGAAAGATATATATATATATATATATATATATTTCTGTTGTCCTATTTCAGAGCCTTGAAGTACTATTTTTTTACTCCCCATTGGGTTATATATCTGATCATCATCATCATCATGTGCCCTACCAACTGGCATAGGCGCTCATGCGTCTCTACAGATCACAATCCCTGGTTGCCTGGTACAGCTCTCTTGATGATATCCCTCCATGCCATCGTTTCAGCTGATCCAGCATCATCTCTCTTGGTCTGCCTCTGTCCCTTTTTCCACTGATCTCTCCAGTTGTCATGGTGTTCTCCGATGTCTCTCTACTCATTATGTGGCCAAAGAGCAGTGTTTGTCTCTTTCTTATTGTTGTATATAGAGATCTACTTTCATTAGCTTCTTTCAAGCAATCGTTGTTAGTTACTCTGGCCTTCCAAGGTATTCGTAACATTTGTCTCAGATACAATATCTCCGTTGCATCCAAATTCTTCTTAATTGTATATCTGATAGATAACATTATTAACACTCTCCTCCATGTGGATTCTAGGGCCCCATTGTGGGGACAACAAGAATAGCCCCACTGCCTCTCCAAAAAGTATGTCATAAGCGTCAGCTAACTGGGAGTTTCCTTCAAAATTGGAGTACATATGCCTGAGAGGCTAGGAATCAACAGTGTTCATACAAGTAGTCAAGACACTTGAAAAACAGATTTGCACGAACACTCAGGTTCTGGAAAAGGACTAGAATCCAGAAGTGGACAAACAACCACAACTTTCGGCTGGAGTTTACAGCTGGTGAACGTTAAGAAGAAGTAGAAGAATTAACACTTTCGTGTGTTTTAGGTCTTTTGCGGTTTTAGAGTATCTTTTCTTCCTCATCCTTTTTACTTGGGATCTTCTGCCTCATCATCTTCCTTTTTTTCTTCTTCTTCCTCCTCATCATATCCCCCCTCCTCCTTCGAATGTATCACATAATGATGCAACCAACAACCATAGTGTCTAGTTACATTGTACTGCTTCTTCCTGATATTGTCTAGGCCTCTTATATCATCTCAGCTTGTATATGGAACTAAAATAACATCCCCTGACTTGTCAAGAATGCTGAGATCAGAAATCTGTGAATGAACATTGTTGCTTGTGTTGCTCAGCACTACATTTGGTGATATATGTGTTATATCCCAGTTTGAACATAGCAATTGAAATCAAGATTGTAACAAAGTCATCAAAATATCTCTATGAGAGAGTCAGTAACCAGACAAGCAAACTACTTGGTTCAAAACTAAATACTAAGATTTTTGAATTCAACTAAGGGAGATGCCAGCTGGATATATCAGGATTAAGTGAGAAAAAAAGTTACCTGTGGCATGTAAAATAGTGGTTAGTAAGCTAACCCTTATATGTTCCGGAAGGGAAGTTGAACATTGCATGGAAGGAGTCGCCATTATGAAATGGTGGCAGCAGTGATCAAAGAAGATGGTGATACATTGGATACATCCTAAGGAGAAGCAGAGAATCATAAAACAGGCACTTAAATAAGAAACAAATGGATTGGGGAGATCCTAAGATAACCATTGGCAAGAGAGGCCAAAGGTGCTGAACTGGATTGCATCCATGATGTTGAAACAATGATACGATAGAATGGAATAGAAGAAAAGACTGTGAGCCCTATGTGATGTACAGCAGAACAAAATGGTGGTGGTGAAGGTTTTCAGAGCATAGCAAGTGTGTTAACAGGGCTCTCATGGGAGACAAAGAAAATGGTGGTGGTGAAGGTTTTCAGAGCATAGCAAGTGTGTTAACAGGGCCCTCATGGGAGACAAAGAAAATGGTGGTGGTGAAGGTTTTCAGAGAATAGCAAGTGTGTTAACAGGGCCCTCATGGGAGACAAAGAAAATGGTGGTGGTGAAGGTTTTCAGAGCATAGCAAGTGTGTTAACAGGGCCCTCATGGGAGACAAAGAAAATGGTGGTGGTGAAGGTTTTCAGAGAATAGCAAGTGTGTTAACAGGGCCCTCATGGGAGACAAAGACTAGTAATACGAAACTGATCAGGCATGTTGTAGCATAGGTTTGATTAGATCTTGTGTTGGCTGCTTCATCCTGCAGATGAGTCTAGCCACCAGAGCCAACTTAAGGCTGGTTGAAGGCCTAGACCTCATTCTGAGATCTTCTTCTGCTTCTTCTTCACATCCTCTTTTACCGCTGTGGGTGTCTAGGGAGATACAAGGTTCTGCTGCTTCTTCACATCCTCTTTTACCACTGTGGGTGTCTAGGGAGAAAAAAGGTTCTGCTTCTTGCTCTTCACCTCGACCATAGACACATGGTGCTGTTGTAGAGTTTCTTTGATGTTAACCTTCCATCTTCTTCTTGATCTACCCTGTGCTGTACATGCTTCTGCTCTGTTGGTGTTTGCCTGGTATGGTATTGTGTCACAAGACATTCTCTCTAAGTGGGCAAACTATTTGACTTGCTGTCATTAAAAGAAACGAGGGCCCAAAAAAGAAAAGTAGAGTATGATCACAGTATGTGATAACAAATGTTTTAAAATGCCCAATATTTGTATATTTTCTAACATATTTAAAAAAAAAGATATGTATTTTTACCATTGATATTTAGCTGATCCGAATGATGACAGAAAAATGCAAAGAACAAGAAACACTGTTGAGGAGCTATGAGTTCAGAGAGCATGAGTACAAGGAGCTTGCCGCCAACACAGAAACACTTCAGCATCAGATTACCACCCTCAGGTATTTAACATGGCATCATCTTGAGCTTTTTATGGCAGGAAAGAAGGGGGAAGGGAAGAGGGCAGTCTGTGTTTTTGAAGTGATAAAGCCATGTGCCTCATGCTTTAGTTATAGGCTGGGTTTGGACTGTCATTTTGCTTGTGAGTGCAGGTATTTAGGAAATTCTTAGGGTAGTCAAAAGAGCTGCCAAGCTTGGTACGTTATTTGATGCTCTCAGCAGGCAAACTGCTGCTTTAGAAAGAGACAGACTGAGCCGTAAGGGGTAAAACCTGATGCATTGAAGACAATCCACAAGACACAAAAACTGCCTTTGGTGATTTAGAAGAAATCCAACAATTCGTGATGATCAGAAGGACCCTGAAATCTCCAGCCCTTATGAGAGACTTTTTTTGCTGGTGGCATAGTTAGTCAATGGATCATCCTTACTGGCATATCAATCATTCAGTCTATAAGTTCTCAGATACTCTCCCTCAGTGTGTCAATGGATCATCCTTACTGGCATATCAACCATTCAGTCGATAAGTGCTCAGATACTCTCTCTCTCTCTGTGTGTGTCAGTGGATCATCCTTACTGGCATATCAATCATTCACTCTATAAGTTCTCAGATACTCTCTCTCAGTGTGTCAATGGATCATCCTTACTGGCATATCAACCATTCAGTCGATAAGTGCTCAGATGCTCTCTCTCTCAGTGTGTCAGTGGATCATCCTTACTGGCATATCAACCATTCAGTCGATAAGTGCTCAGATGCTCTCTCTCTCAGTGTGTCAGTGGATCATCCTTACTGGCATATCAATCATTCAGTGGATAAGTTTAGAAACTCTCTCTCAGTGTGTCAATGGATCATCCTTACTGGCATATCAACCATTCAGTCGATAAGTGCTCAGATGCTCTCTCTGTGTGTCAATGGATCATCCTTACTGGCATATCAACCATTCAGTCGATAAGTTCTCAGATGCTCTCCCTCAGTGTGTCAATGGATCATCCTTACTGGCATATCAACCATTCATTCGATAAGTTCTCAGATGCTGTCTCTCAGTGTGTCAATGGATCATCCTTACTGGCATATCAATCATAGTCCATAAGTTCTCAGATACTCTCTCTCAGTGTGTCAATGGATCATCCTTACTGGCATATCAATCATACAGTCCATAAGTTCTCAGATACTCTCTCTCAGTGTGTCAATGGATCATCCTTACTGGCATATCAACCATTTAGTCGATAAGTTCTCAGATGCTCTCCCTCAGTGTGTCAATGGATCATCCTTACTGGCATATCAACCATTCAGTCGATACGTTCTCAGATACTCTCTCTCAGTGTCTGGTGACTTATGAGCTGGTCTTGCTAGCCACACTCACCACTGCCAAGTATTTTCAATGTCTCTTTCTAGAGCACAATGTAATACTGTTATCTGGAAAGAAGGAAAGTTTATATTTGTTGCACACTGCCACACAGAAAAAAAAAACACTGTCATAATAAACATTTCTGTGACAAACAAGGTCCATTTATATTGTTTTAATTTTATGGAGAAAAATTTGCGAAGATAATGTGAAGGTTTTCCTTTACCTTCCACAACCACTAAGAGATATGTTTACCCATGAAATATTAACCATTGCCATAGACAGCAGTTTCAGACTACCAGGAATATCATATGTCCATGCCAGACAGCAATAGTTCTAGTGAAACATAAGTGCAAAATGATAACACGTGAGATGAGATGTATCAGAAATACGGCTGGAAAAACAAGAAGAGACAGTTACCAACAAAGAACTAAGAACAGTGGTAGGCACAGTACTGATTAAAGATTTCCTAGAAAATCAAAGAATCAAATGGTTTAGTCATCTGATGAGAATGGAACAAAATCAGCCTGTAGCTAGAGTGTACTACATGAGAACAGCAGGTTACAAAGCAAGAGGCAGACCGAGAAAGAGATGGGTGGATGGAGTAAAAGTGACAAGAAAAATACAATATGATATTAACTCACGCTACATGGCTAGCAAAAGAAAGAAACTGCTTCTAGCTCCTCTCTGTGGTGCTTTACAGCATAAGCAGTCGGACAGAAACAGGAGGAGGAGCTAGACTGTATTTGACCACGAAATTCCTAATCAAATAACTGGATCTGTGGGCAGCCCACAACTTGGCCAGGGCAAAAACATTGTGTCCCCCATGATAGAGGCCAGGTGCAGGGAATATATGTATTCACTACTGTCTCTGAAAATATGATGTGATGAAGCTTTTGTCTCTTTCATGGTGCAACTCTCATGCTACTATTCACAAGCCATTTAACTGCCTGCAACAAAAATTAAACCCTGCTTTGTCAAGGATTGTGAAATGTGATCACTAATCTCTATATCACAGAGCCGTTTTCTGTAAAAATTGATTACTGAATATGTTTAAAATACATCATGTTATCTACCTCCTCTATCTAACTGTGCATTTTTTTTTTTTTATCTGAGGCTCTTTATATAATCATTTTAAGTATTATTTGTTAATTTATTAACATTGATTCCATTTTTCCTGCCAGTGAACAGCTGAATAATCTTCAAAGTGAGCTTGTAACTTTAGCACTAGAAAAGAAACAGTTTGAAGAAATGTATTACACGGAATTGAATGTCAGGAACAAAACAGAGGAGGTGCTGGTAGAAGCTGCTGATGCCATCAAGGCTGCTTTGGCGGTAAGGCCACAGAAACTTCTTTAGTTTATGCAGCCACTTGAGCTTTCAGTCTTTTCTTGTACTTTTCTTCCCTTTATCTTCAGTGGGACCTAGGTCCTCAACCAGACCAAATCATCCTATCTTCTTCTTTATGTTGACTGGCTGTAAACTCTGGTGGAAAGTTCTGGTTGTTTGTCCACTTCTGAACTTTAGTCTTGTTCCAGAACTAAGTTTTGCGTGCACATCCTTTTTACAGATCTGGCTTATTTGTATGGAGACTGCTGGCTCCTCACCTCTCCGACAGATGAATCCAATTTTGAAAAGACACGCCTCTGAGTAGTCGAGTTTTACGACATTCTTGTTAGAGGGCCAGTGAGGAGTCATTGTATAACTGTACCTTTATGTGCAGTTAATTGTATGTTCCCCCTGGGTTTTTCACCACAGTTGACTTTGTCATAATTTGTGGTTGGTTTTTGTCAGCTGTAGTTAAAGGTAAAAGGTTTTATCCCATTAGGTTCAGTCTCTCTCCACAGAATGGCTACCACCTGCCTAGAGCCTCACACAAAGCACAAACTCTGTAGCACCAGTGATGATACCTAGGGGGCTCCATAAACATTTACTTATGAATCAAACGATGCAGCTGTGTAAGGAACCCATGCCCTTCAGAGTGCATAGCAAATGGCTTGACCACTTTGCCACAGAGACCCCCTATGAGGGGGCTGTAGAGTTTTACAGGATGAGGTAGCCAAGGCCAACTCTCCCTGTATTTGTCCTCCGACACCTGGCAGGCTGCAGGTTTACTACCATTCTTTTGCTTCTGCAAAGAGCCCTAATAACACGTGGGCTTTTGCATTCAGTAGTATGTCTTTATATACCTCGGAGATATAGTTTTACAGAAGAATCCTAAGAATTCCTTGGACCACACACAAAAAACGAGCAACTCTGATGATTTGAAAAAGGCAAAGGCTCAAAGACAACTTATCACAAACATCAGAAAGAAACAGTTATAGTTTTTTGGCCATATTATGAGAACAAAGTAACTGGAGCATGTTGTGACCACTGGAAAGATCTGTGGAAAAAAAGAGGCCGGAAGATAATGTGAGACCATTCTTGACAGTTTTTTGTCATGGAATGGAGGGGTGTCAACAGATGAACTATGTATTGTTGAAGATCATAGATTGAGGAGAAACATGACTGCCCGTAACAGTCACATACTGTGATCTTTGCAAAAAACTCTGGTCATTACTGTAAATAACATCCATTTTGTCCTTGTCCAAGACGAAACCTTCTCTTCCACCTTGTTCAAGTCTGCATACAAATAAGAGAACCATATAACAATAATGGCTACAGTTTTAACAAAATGTATTTAACGCTTTCATTTTCAAACATGTCATGCTAGCCATTTTTTGACATGTTCTCTTACTTTCAACAATAGGTCAAAGTATGCAAAAGAAGTCTGGCTTCCCAGTTGCCGGTTCAGCCGAAAGTTAATCCATTTTTTAAAAATATGAAAAAATGTCAATCCAGATAAGAAGTAGAACTAGTCAGCTTCACAATACCACAATTAAAAATGTTAAATGAACACTGCAGCTAAAAAGCTTATATCAGCAAATAGCATACACGAACAGTGATTTAGTTACAAACCAAGACACCAAATCACTTATCTGCAGTGAGGTCTGCTACAAAATAGTGGTACTATATGTGAGGCTGCGTGGATATTTACCATGGTATGGGGCGTCGCAGGTGGACCCAGCCTTTAAATGGGTACCAGGATGGCTATCCTGGAAAAGTAAAGACGGCCGGCGTAATTCTGACCACTTTACCCACCTAGTGCCAATTGGTCTGTAAAAATATGGGTGCTCTTCCCATATGCCTGATGCGACTAAGGCTTAAAAAGGGATCTTTACATTACTTTGACTTACTATATGTCAGGGCTATTCAACTGGTGGCCCGCAGGCCAAATCTGGCCCGCGCAGGCATAGAAAGTGGCCCGCTGATCATTGCCTGTTGTATTGTATTAACGATCTTTCTATGCTAAGGTTTAGCCCTCTGGCCCGTGACGATCCCCATTTTCCAAATGTTGACCCCTTGTTAAACCTCTGGTGCTTGAGGTTCTGTAACACTCACACGGACTACTGGTGCTTGAGGTTCTGTAACACTCACACGGACTACTGGTGCTTGAGGTTCTCCAACACTCACACAGCCTGCTGGTGCCTGAGGTTCTGTAACACTCACACAGACTGCTGGTGCTTGAGGTACTCCAACACTCACACAGACTGCTGGTGCTTGAGGTACTGTAACACTCACACAGACTGCTGGTGCTTGAGGTACTGTAACACTCACACAGACTGCTGGTGCTTGAGGTACTGTAACACTCACACAGACTGCTGGTGCTTGAGGTTCTCCAACACTCACACAGACTGCTGGTGCTTGAGGTTCTCCAACACTCACACAGGCTGCTGGTGCTTGAGGTTCTGTAACACTCACACAGACTGCTGGTGCTTGAGGTTCTCCAACACTCACACAGACTGCTGGTGCTTGAGGTACTGTAACACTCACACAGACTGCTGGTGCTTGAGGTTCTGTAACACTCACACAGACTGCTGGTGCTTGAGGTTCTGTAACACTCACACAGACTGCTGGTGCTTGAGGTACTGTAACACTCACACAGACTGCTGGTGCTTGAGGTTCTGTAACACTCATACAGACTACTGGTACTTGAGGTACTGTAACACTCACACAGGCTGCTGGTGCCTGAGGTAAGGTACGGGGTATTCCTCTATACACGGCTCAATGGTCTTAACTTCCTTTCCTGCATGTGACCAAATCACTGCACCACTAAAAGTGATATGAAAATATTTATTTATTTACTTTACTTTTAGATTCAAAATTGTTTGAGTATCTGTAAAGCATTATTCGTCTGTGAAACCCTTGTTTGTCTTTCCAGATATTAATTTTTGTTTGTGTTTCTAGAGAACATCACCTGATGATGAAGATTTAGATGAGGATAAAACAATCACTAATCTTCGTAAGAGAGACCACATGCTTGAAAGTCTCCTGGTACTGTTGAACAGTGCAGCAGCCCTGGGTATTGGGCCCAAACCAAAAGATCTCGGAAAACAGTGGGAGGAACCATCACCGGTGATGGGAAATGTGCCCGGAGTCAGAAAAGGAATTCTCAAAGGGTAAGTTCCACATAAAACAGAGTTTAAAGTCAGCTTATTTTTTGCATCAAATGTGATGCCATATGAGAGTCTCCTTGCAGAGCAACTGTTCATCACTGACAGCACAACACATAGCTCTGTAGCTCAAGGGACTCTCTTCTTAGAGCTTACCGGCTGTAAACTCTGACAGAAAGTTCTGGTTTCATCCAGTTGCAGAACTTGAGTTTTGCATGCACATCCACTTTACATATCTGGCTTGTTTCAGAAAAATTGCATTTGAACATTCAGTGGCAAATGAAGGTTATTTTTCTTCTTTTCCTTCTCACCTTGATCCACTTGTCATGTCGAGGTTGTTGTACACTTGTGTTGTACACTTTGTTGTACACTTCGTTGTAGTACACTGTATCTTCAAGAACCAAGTATTTAGGCCTAGGGTGCCTTTTCAACATTCCGCTGGATATCTCCTTGATGGATGTGCTACAGTGAAGTCCTGCATTCTATAACTGGCACACTTGGCACCGACACAGCATCATGTAATACAGTTGCTATCTTTACAAGCCAACAATAACGCTTGTGACAGGCCACATAAACTTTAATGGCATTAAAGTTACATGTCACAAGATGATGATGATGATTATTCAATAAAACGTACGATAATAACTCTCTATTATCTACTCTGAGAATATAAAAGAATTACACTCTTTTCTTAATGGACTCCTGCCATTATAATAAATAAATAGACATTAAACTGTCTCCCGTAAGTACGGTTAATCAAAACCTCACAAAGAGGAACGTCTGACTCGAACAAGGGAAATATCTTGACTGCCGAATCCTTTGTGTTCTGCAGGAGCCTTTGTGTTAATGGCCCAGAATTCAATTAGCTGGTATCCTAGGTAACGACCCGACCCGTGGCCGCTGTGTGAACCTTTCACCTGCGCTGTGACCACTAGAAGAAACTAGAAGAAACTTTAACTCTTGGACAATAAGATTACAACAGAGGTGCAGTATAATTTAGAAGAAAATGCCTGTTTATGTGCTTTATAATTGTGGTTTCCCAGGGAATCACCACTAATGAAGCACACAAATGGGCACTTTTCCATAAATACTTCACCTCAACACTGCAAGATATGAAAATTTTAAGGTAGCGTGAAAGGTAAGGCTTCATTCTGATCTGTTTGCAGTAGGAATTCACAAATATACCTTTGGTATATTGTAAATCGACCACACACACAAAACAGCTCTGAAAATGCAGTTAGGTGAAAATACCAAGATTGCATTAAGGTGACTTTGGCGGGGTAACGACAATATATGGTGACTATGGAACAGGGGAAAGCCTGGCTCTGCGGCTTAGAGTATAATGAATTTGTTTCACAACTCCGCGATCCTGACTGTACTGTGGCTCGATTTCCACGATAGCCAGTTTATTTTGTTTGTTTCTTCAAATGGCTCATTCTTGAAGCTGTCAGACAGTGGTACAAGCATCACTCTGTTGTCCAGGCTGCACATGATTTAACTCGTTTAGTCCCAGGAGGTTTAGCATCAGAGGCCTAAGGGGTGGTAAAGAGAGATGTATAATCAGCTCATTTTGCGTTCCCTGGCTTCTAGGTAGGAACCTATGAATGAATAATGTGTTCCTTGGGAATGAAAGAGTCAAGGCCAGAATCGTTTTCAGTTCTGTTTATGTTGCTTGACTTTAGCGATGGGACAAGAACTGGTATTTTTAATGTGGTATGGGATGGTAATGAGTCATTTACGAACTCTTTCTGACACTGTTGTACTCTTGCCTCAGATGTTTAGCCTTTATTCCACAAGTTTGAGTTACAAGTTGATTTTTTTGTTACAACTACAGGGATTTCCCCTTGTCCCCACTGGCTAAGGATGGCAGCCTGTCTCACTATACTCTGGGCGATCTTGGACTGATACCACGACCAAGCCAGCAGATTTCTACAAATGTGGACAAGATGAAGGCAATCTCCCAAGCTGTACAGCTGAGGTCCTTGAGGGGCGTCTTGCAAAAGTCTGTTGCTACACAGACTGTCAGTGCACCCAAGGTCAGTAGAAGTCTTACTGTAGAAAATGATGGGGTATTTTAGTTATGCGATCTGCACTCTTCTTCTTCTGCGTTCAACATCAGTCATCCTAAACATTGAGTCCCGTCTGGGCCACAAATAGGATTGTGCGTTCAAGGTCGCCACCAATCCCCCATAGCTTCTCTTGCAATGTGGCTCCCTTGGGCCAGATCCACAGTCTTTGCTGGGAGAGGTAAGGGCAGTACTGCAGTATGTACTCAGGGGTGTGTCTTTCTGCTCCACAATCACAGGCAGCAGATTCTTTTATGCCTATCCTGTACAGGTGTTCTCGAAGACCACAGTGTCCAGTTCGAAGTCTAAAAATTGATGTTTGTTCTTTCCTGTTGAGTTTGTTTATGCTGTCACTCTCTGGTCTGTAATCTTCATTCTGCCTTCTCCACTCCCGCTTGAAAGACTGCTTTAGCGCTGTGGATGAGGTAGTGGAAGATTACTCCCAGCTTTTGCCAACTCATCTGCTCTCTCATTTCCTTGAATACCACAGTGGGCTGGTATCCTGCAAGACCAGTTCTGCTTCCTTGGAGAGTAAGCCAATGTAGGTCCTTAGATCTGAAATTTGTCTTGTTTTTTTTGTTTGATAGTGCTTGGAGAACAGACAATGAGTCACCAAGTATAACAATTTTGTGCCCTCTGTGTTCTTGATTGATGAGATGTTGGACTGCAGAAAGGAGGGCAGTTGCCTCAGCTCTGAAGTTAGTGCAGATGTCACCTGCTGGTAGAGAGAGAGTTTCTGCTCTACTGCTAGGGTATTTAATGTATATTCCACAAACCCCTTTCTCACTGCATCTGTAGCAGAGCCGTTGGTGAAAACCTGAGTCTAAGTGGTGTTTGGATACTTCTCATCTAGCATAGCACTGACAGGGAAGCTCAAGCTTCTCCACACTCTGTCATCTCCAACAGGATGTAAAATGTGTATTAAACAACTGCTAAAATTGCTACATCATTTTTTGGGGAGTAGCAGTGTCAGGATTGACTAGCTCTTCCTTGGAATGCCAAAAAGTGAAAATTAGTAGCCTGCCAATGGCTCGTAGGACACCCAAGCTAATCCCCTCCTCAGAACAGGGCACACCCAAAAACTGGAGAAAAAATGTAGTTTTTCTTGTTTGTGTTCGTAATTGGGGTGTGCTTGTTTACAGCAAAAGCTGCAATATAAGCACCTTTGAGCCTATACAATTAGAGGAGCTGCAGGAGTTTCAAGGAAAGACAGAATATGAAATCATGAAATCAGACGAATGCTAGGAATAAAGCCAGTCTTACAGGTCATCAAAGAACAACAAATGAAGTGGTTTGGACACCTAACAAGAATGCCCTGGTACTATCCGCCACAGCGAGCCAAACTAAAACGTTACAACGGGTATAGAGCAAGTGGAAGACCTCGGAAAAGATGGAGTAATGGCATTAAGAACAGCCTTACAGAAATTAACATCAGTCTTAATAGTGCTCTTGACAGAGCTCATCAACGAACATTACATCTCCCCTCAACACTTCGATGAGGTGCAAGGTGGAAGAGAAGAAGAAGAAGAAAAGCCTACACATCAGTTTTCATCAAACATTTGATGACTGGGTCACCTTCCTGGAAATTGTATTTTATCTGACATAACTGTGATCTGCAAACGCATATAGTCATTGAGTGGATGAAAATGTATTTCTTTTAACTATTATCTTTTAGTGTTTTCTCTATTGCTATCAATTGCAGGCTCTGTTCTATGCTGACCAGTTAAGTGGCAGGACCTCAACTCAACCGTCCGCTGTGAAAGACATACTGCGACCCCCTCATGGAGCTTCACCACTGCCGGTCCCAAAGAAACTTGTCAGCAGTGTCAACTAAGATTTGTATTTATATTCCAATAAAATAGGATTTGTTCACTGCAACCAATAACTGACAGCACAGATTTTGATAAGATCAATTATACTTTCATAAAATTATTTTTGTGTTTTCATTTTTACTAATTTAAGTAGGAACAAATCTACAAGTCTGTAAATAGTAATGTTATTGTGGCCAGACAGTACAGTCGAGTCCACTTAAGTCGCATTTCAGTTAAGTCGACATGACCAGCTTAGTCCCGGCAATTTTCTCTATTGTGTGTGCTGTCTGGATAAGTAGAAATCCTGATAAGTGCAAGCATTTTCTTAGCTCCCTGCGACTTCTACTTATCCAGACTCAACTGCATATTGAACTTGGATTTTAGAAAGCTTGTCTGATAATTTATGTCATGCACTTTTTACATTAGGAAGCCAGAAGTGCTGTTATTCCTTACTGCTTTGAGTATTATTAAACTAGCAGAAGTTGTGAAATAACGGTTAGGAAAAGAAGCCATTTGCATACTACTATAACATACTGGACTGGCGCCCGCACAGAATTGAGGGAAGTTATTGGTAAGACAGAATCATTAAAGCTGAGTTCTGTGACAGAGATAAACAAATTCCAGTGAATCAAGATGTGAGGAAGAGATGCTGGCACCGAATAGAACACACACTAAGAAAACCTGATAACTAGAATGACTTTACAATGGAACCTACAAGGGTAAAGAAAAAAGGCAACCTCCCCAACCCCAAACATGCACAAGGGAATTAGAGAATGAAGTTGAAAAGATAGGAAGGACATAAGCTGAGCTGCGTACAATAGCAAAGGATAAGACTACTTGTCGAGAGCTGGTTGAGGGCCTATGCTATGTTGGGGCAGAAGACAACAAACAACATACTGTGATATGGTGCTTGATTAAGATTTTCCAGGAAATGAGGAGGGGTCTCCTTGTTGAGTCGTTAAAATAAAAATTTAAAAAAAAATAAAAACTTTTTTAATAACGGCAGCGCATTCAGCATATAATGCTGGCCACCTTTATTTCCCAGGACATTGCCTAGCAATGTTGTGTATTACTATAACAAATTGCCCAGCTTCCCATGTGGGTTCCAGGGCCCCATTGTGGGAAAAACAAGAACAGACCCACTGCCTACCCAAAAGCATGTCATTAATTGTAAGCTTCCTTCAAAGTCATACATCTGCCTGAGAGTCAATGAACCAACAGTCTGCGTGCAAATGAGTCATATCTGTGAAACGAATGTGCACACAGCACTCAGTTCCTGGAACAGAACTAGAATCCAGAAGGGGATGAAAAACCAGAACGTTCCGCCGGAGTTTACAACTGGTGAACATGAAGAAGAAGAAATTGACTTACTTCTCGATGGCATATCTGATTTATCTAACTGCTCTCTCCCAATTCCCACCAGTTAATGAAAGAGTTCAGTTCACCAAGGTGTTTCTTCTTGTGCTTTCACCCTTGAAGGGCAACTAGGCAGGTTGCGTTGTGGGTTACAGCTAGGCTGCCAAATCTGCCCATCGACCCAACACATCTATTTTCAGAAAACTTCCAATTAGTTGCCCTTGACTACATGCTAGTGGGGGGGGGGGGGGGGGGGGGGGGGGGGGGGGTGGGGGGGGGGGGGGGGGGGGGGGGGAGGGGGGGGGGGGGGGGGGGGGGAAAAAAAAAGGTCTATTCTTTAATTTCCACCAGAGTTGAGGCCCCACAAAGAGAACCAATGTGTTCAGAATGATGTTTTCCTATAAATGAAGATGTAATAGATCAGTTGTTCAACTTCAGTCATAACATAGTACAAAAATTTTTTGTTTAGTATCCAACAGGCATGAGTTGTTAACCCTTAGGCTCAGTATTATGGATATCGCAACCTTTCGGCCTTGATTCCATTGTAAATACCCTAAAGCTGGGAGAAATGTGGCTTTTCTGCCTACCCCCGGACCACAAGGAGTTCGTCACCCGGTCACTACGCAATCTGGTTTAGCCGAGTACGCTAGAGAGCTGGGCAAAAATAAGTTAAGGTCCCCTTTCCCTGCCTTTAGGTGTATTTGGAATACAGGGCTAGACCTGTATTTTTATAGACCAGTCGCACTTAGTCAGCTTCATACTTATAGGACGAGGAAACGGAGATTAAATTTCTTCCTTTGTTTTCTTGTCATAGTTTTTGCTGTCAACTTCTAATGTTACAAAGGCAGTCATCTAACTCACATCAAGTCCTTTCTACCCTTGCTGACGATTAGCTGGATTCTGTAGCTAACTGATCTAGAGGGTGAGTTAGTCAGTCACACATCCACCTTTCTTAGTTACCATTTTACCCGGTTAGTGATACTATTTGTTGCTTCCTGGATTGGTCAGAGTAAACAAGGGATTACATATTTGCCAACAGATAGCTAGCTGACTCTGCTATTAAAGAAAACAATGTGGCCGTGTGTAGAAAGCAGTAATTGTGTCTCAAAGAATAAAGCCGTTTATATCGTCTTTTATAGTTTAATATGTTTGGAAGTGTGGAACATTATTTTACCTTTGTTGTGTAAATCTGTGTTTGGATCTGTATAACATTGTATTACCTATATGTTGTGTAAATCTATGTTTAGAAGTGTGGAACACTGTATTACCTTTGTTGTGTAAATCTATGTTTGGATCTGTATAACATTATATTACCTTTATGTTGTGTAAATCTATGTTTGGAAGTGTGGAACATTATATTACCTTTGTTGTGTAAATCTGTGTTTGGATCAGTATAACATTGTATTACCTTTGTTGTGTAATCTGTGTTTGGATCTGTATAACATTGTATTACCTTTATGTTGTGTAAATCTATGTTTGGAAGTGTGGAACATTATATTACCTTTGTTGTGTAAATCTGTGTTTGCATCTATATAATATTGCATTACTGATATATTGTGTAAATCTATGTTTGGAAGTGTGGAACACTGTATTACCTTTTTGTGTAAATCTGTGTTTGGATCTGTATAACATTGTATTACCTTTATGTTGTGTAAATCTGTGTTTGGAAGTGTGGAACATTATATTACCTTTGTTGTGTAAATCTGTGTTTGGATCTGTTTAACACTGTATTATCTTTGTTGTGTAAATCTATGTTTGGATCTATATAACATTTTATTACCTTTATGTTGTGTAAATCAATGTTTGGAAATGTGGAACATTATATTACCTTTGTTGTGTGAATCTGTGTTTGGATCTGTATAACATTGTATTACCTTTATGTTGTGTAAGTCTATGTTTGGATCTGTATAACATTGTATTTCCTTTATGTTATGTAAACCTGTGTAAGCTTACACGTCTTTCGTATATATTTAAATCGGCAGCCTCATAATAAATACTGTTGTTCAGGTGTGAAGTGTTATGAACCACATATTCTAGGCACCAATACAAAGATGTGGGATAGCCAGTTCCTTTCTCTGTTGCCTGCCCTCCCCAGACAATTCTAAATATTGTCTGGTGTCAATTTTTTTTAACGAGATTAACTTGACCATAAGTTCACCATACATGTTAGAGAAATTAATCTTGTGTCTTTTATTTTAATGATAGTTAAATTCTTCAATACATATGGCATATACTTCACTCACATTCAGTCGTCGTCTTCTTCTTTTGTCATCTCACTGATACCAGGTAGTAACCTAGTATCAAGGTTTTCTGTATTTGTCTTGCGCTTCTCGGGTGGCTTGAGTGATGGATGGGTTCGTCTTTTTGCAGATTTCAGCTATACCATTTATCCAGATCTTTCTTGGTCTTCCTTCCAGATGTTCTGCTGTAAAAAGTCTCATGCAGTTTGGTCTAGTTGCGTTCTGTCTATCAGTGAAATTTAATATGCAAGCTGCAGAAATATGCTTTCAAAAACAAATGATCAGTGAATCATGAGAAAAAAAATAATGTGGAAACCACAAAGATGTACAGATAAATGAGAACACCAGAGGCAGATGAAGAAATGTAAAGACAAGTGTTTTTAAAGAAACTGGTACATGAAGATAACAGATTATCGACATAAAAAGACATTCTACATAAGTTGGTCACATCGTGAAAAGTGGAAAAAATAGAGTAAATCTTGCCAGGGGGGAAAGTTGAAGGTGTAAAGACAGAAGGAGAGCAAGAAAGAAGAAGATGACAGTTTGTCATTATGGCCTAGATTATCATCAGTGTCAGAAATTGTTTTTTCAAGTGTTTACCGGCTGTAAACTCTGGTGGAAAGTTCTGGTTGTTCATCCACACCTGCACTATGGTCTAGATCCAGAACTTAAGTTTTGCATGCACATCTGTTCAACAGATCTGGCTTGTTTGTATGCAGACTACTGGTTCCCTGCCTCTCAGGCAAATGCACTCCGACTTTGAAGGAATGTGTCAGAAATGACAGAAAGTACATGAGATAGAAAGCTGTAGAAAGACATCTTTTTCACTTCCTTTTACTGTTCCAGATGTCGAGAGATAAGGTTCTACTGCTTGCTCTTCTGGTCACCTTGGCTATAGAAACATAATGCCATTTTAGAGTTTCTCTGTAATCTTTCTACATTGTTCTTGGTCTACCTCATGATCTACATCCCTCTCCTCTTTTGGTGTATGCCCTGCATGGTATGGCATCACAAGGCCTTCTCCCCAAGTAACAACACCACCATAAAACATGGATTGTAATCAGATGCTTCACTTATAGACACATACACTTGCTAATAAGAAACACACACAACAGTAGGCTAAAAATGACTCTTCACACCATTTTCTCATTCCTTCTCTCTTTAGTCTCTTTCTTTCATTATATTTTTAAAAAAAATAATATGAACAACATGCAACTGAGCGGTAAATGATTTTGTAATTTGTCTCAAAGATGTAATATGTCTCATCAAACTGCAAATAACAATCCCAAAAGTCAAATGACTTCATATGTTGAACTGCCTTAACTATATTAATCATACAAGCTGAACAAGTTGTCACAGACAAGCACTTGGGCTGCATTCATCTCAATGGAACTGACTCTCTCAATGGGATTGTCTTTCGCAATGGAATTGCTATCTCCATAGTACTGCCTTTCTCAATGGAACTGACTCTCTCAATGGGATTGTCTGTCTCAATGGAACTGCTATCTCCATAGTACTGCCTTTCTCAATGGAACTGACTCTCTCAATAGGATTGTCTTTCTCAATGGAACTGCCCTTCTCAAATGAGACATAATAGGATTGTCTTCTCTAATTGACTTTCTCAATGGGACTACCTTTCTTAATGGAATTGCCATCTCAACAGAACTGCTTTTTTCAATGAGATTGCTTTATTCAAATAGGACTGTCTCTCTCAGCGGAAGTACTATCTCAATAAAACTGCCTTTCTCAGTAGGATTTTTGGCTTTAAAGGACTTTCTCAATGAACAATGGTGGATGGTTTTGATAACTGTCATCTCTGACTCTAAATAAGACGACTGTGTTTGGATCGGGGCCACAAAGATGTAGTCACCACTTCTCCTTTGCACATCTCTACTCCATAACAGAGTGTCACGTGGCATGTCTCCGCAGACACTGCAAGACCACATTGAGAGGAAAGCACTGAATGAAGCTTCCTAACATTTTCTCATACACTTCTATGAAATGTTTTCTCATAAGACTAGGTAACTGTCTCCGACAGTCTGTTCTCCATGTGTCTCAGTAAAGCATCTATTGCCTGGTCAATGGTCACACCTACGACGGCCAGCTCCTGGTCACTGAACTTACTCAGCACGTATGTAATAATTTCAGATTTACATGCTGGCCGGCTGATTCCAATCCTCAAGCGGAGAATCTCCTGGTGGACAAAATAAAATGTACAAATCTTGTTAACCATAAATCTATATCATTTAGTGAAGCAATACTTCTTCTTCTGCCTTTCTAACCCCTAATGAAGCATAGGCCCTCAACCAACTTACACCAAGTCGTTCTTTCCTTCGCTATCGCACGCAGCTCTCCCCATGTCCTCCCCTTTTTTTTAACTTCACTCTCTAGATCCCTTCCCAGTGTCTTTTTTTTTGGTCTTCCTTTATTTCTATGCCCCAGTGGACTCCATTGCAAAGATGTTCTAGTTATATTGAAGCAATATAACAACAGTAATGAATCATAATCCAGGAAGAGAGAAACTGTGGAGCTCTTGTTGGGGGTTTTACTAACAGTTATGTTCATGAGGGCACCCATCTCTATTTATATTGCTGAACATGATACTCTATGAATCTTCATGTAACATTAATGTTTAAAAGCCCTGGTGTTCATTTTTTAGTGATTGTTAAAACAGTCCAAAACTCATAAAAAATCAATCAATTCATCAATCAGGTGCCATCTCCACAATGAAGGTTGGCTGCAACATGCCCTGTCTCTTGTCCTGGTTGTACACTCTCTCAGACTGCTGCCTGTGCATCTCTTGATGTTGTCCTCCCACTTGTATCACTGCCCACCTCTTGCCCTCGACTTTTCCTTTCAGTATGGTTTTCAAAAGCGTGTCACATCTTTTAATAAAAGATAAATGCGAGCACATAACACAAACTGGTAGGCTACAACAACTATCTTACTGGATGAAACTGTCCCTTAATGCTCACAGACTTGGAGGATATCAGCTCCAAACAGAAACTTACCAGTACAAGGTGAAGATTTTTGTCATTTTGTTTGTTGTACTTTGTACCTAATGCAAAAGTAGAACCGATGATGCCCTAACTATCACATGCCTACTTCTTTACCCTTAAAAGGACCACTATCCCGGTGTTGTGGTTAACAGCTAGGCTGCGATATCTGTGCCCTTCAGCAAAACATATTCGATTTCAGCAAAATCTAAACTGGAAGCCTTTTACAACATGATTTTTTTCAGAAAGGGTGGAGAACGGGTATATCTATTCCCCCCCCCCCCCTCCCCCTTAAATAGGGCCTTACCCACACAGTGAAGGTGCTAACAAACATGTACATAAACCACAATGACTTACATCTGATCCTAGACAACTGATGCAGGACAAAACGCCATTATGTCCCCTAAAATACAGACAAGGTAAAACAAGCAGGTCAAAGAAACATTTTTCATAAAATTATGTTATGACCACAAAACTATTGCAACAGCATTTTGTGTGTTAGAGATTATGATGAAGAGTCTTATTCTGCATTCAACTAAAGTTGTAACTGCATTGTGTCTGTTTACAGCGATGTTGGCTGTGATATTTGCACGTTTCGGCCCACTTCTGCAGGCATTTGTTGAAATTCCCCCACCACACACACAAATTAGGGATGCTGTCTGTATTTTGGTTTTGTTGTGAGAATAGAAGTGCAAATAAACAATGAAACTGTTCAACCCCATCTCTCTCTCTCTCTCTCTCTGTGTGGGGGGGGGGGGGGGGGGTCAACAAATGGCCCGTTAGGGTCGTGGAAGTGTATCGATGGAAGCACTAACACACATAAAACCCGCCATCTTTCTCTGTCTTCCGCTTGATAAACAAGTGCATGATAACTCAGTCCTGTCCATTTCTTGATAATTTCCTACCTTGAAATACACAGTCTTTGCAGTTGAATCATGTCTCACCACGTGCCCAAACCAAGCTAGCTTGCAACACCACTGCCAAGAGAGGCTCCTCATGTCCTGCAAATTTGTTTTATCTCTGCCATATGTTAGTTTTATGTTCTAAATAACTAATTCGCAAAATGCATCTATAGCATTTACATACGAAAGCCTGAAACCTCGTTTCCATTTCTCCACAGTGAGAGTCCAACTCGCACATCCGCATAAAAAAATAGACAATACCAGAGATTTGTATATATGGACCTCAACTGCAATGTTGATTTTGTTCTTCCACATCATATTCAGCTGGGACATCACGACTGTTGCCATATCAAATACTTCTTTGTATGAGTGCCAATCAATAACTACCTATCTGTTTAATATTTAATGTTAAAAGTTAACATTAAAAAACGTACCCTGCGCTTCCTCTTTCCTTGATATGAAATTTTCCAAGATTGCGATCCAGTTCATCATGTACCAGATAGATGTCTTGTAGAGCTACTGAGAGAGCTTTCACTGAAATACAAAATATGCAAATATAAATAGATCAGCTTCAAGCCATCTTTAGTATTCCATCTCCTCTTTTTCAATTTTCTTTTTCTACCGCATTTGTGCTAAAAAAGGTGTTTGGCCAATTTTTGTGTGGCTTACAGCTAGGCTGCTATATTTGTGCTCTTTGGTCCAACACACATAATTTCAGACAATCTCAGAATAATCACCTTTTTACAATGTGCTTGAGAGTGGAGCAGTGGGTCTATCCCCTACCACCGTCCTCCCAAAATGGAGCCCCAAAACCCATATGAGGATCTGTCTATGTTCAAGTGTAAAGGAAGCGTTAGAAAAAAGTAATGGATCCTTTTCCATGTCTCGAGGGGATCTGGCATATGGATATCCCATATTTTCACTGACTTATCCGCAAATATTAGGTGATTAATATCACCCCAGACCCCTTTACTTTCCAGAACATGACCCGGTACCATACCGCTGGCTTTTTTTTTTTACAATTTTTCTAACAGTTAAACACAGTTCCACTTTCACGGCAGCTGGGTCACCCCATGACAGCTCCATTCCTGTGCAGGTGACAACTGAGAACGCTCACTGCTGTCTGGTGAGACAACATTTAAACAGACTGCAGCCTCAGCAAAGCCAATAGCATCTTTGGGACCTTTCTGTCTTTCCCGACAACAGTGTTATATTGTGCTATGAGGAGGCATAGGGCTCACAGCCTATGGCGATGCGAGTGTGACTAGCACTAGTCAATAGCATACATAGGCATTAACTGCTTAAGACAGCCATTAGAAGTGCCAACACAAACAGTCCACCATTAGAATTGCAATTCATTTACAACAAATCAGCAGTTACGCACACAATATCACAGAGGACACCACCAGTTTTGTGATTAACAGGCCACTCGCCATCTTCTGAATTTGCAGTTCACAACTCAAGCCACCATGAGCACAGCTGAAAAGCACTGTGATTTCCAACAGTATGTATCTTCTAATGTACCAAGACCTATTCAATCAATGAGAAAAAGTGTCAAAAAGCCTTTCATAAAATTCTGCAATTTCAAAAATGCTTTTCAATGCCTTCCTCTACCCCTCTTTCCAGTTTCCACGTGTTCCAATTTTTCTCTTATAAACTATAATGTGGCCCAAAAATGGCTGGCTAACTCTAAAATTATGAAAAGTTGCCTTCATGTCTTAGTCTCTTTTAAAACATTTACACTGTCCACATACACCCACTAAATCATTAACACCCACCTGCCTTGGCAACGCTAGTGCCACTGATATTCATGAAAGTTTTTGGCTTCAGCAGGGTGACTTTGAAAGGTTGGCTGCCACTCTTCAACACAGTGGAGCAGATGAAGCCGCCATGGTGGCCGACACTCTTCTGCCAGTCCAGCTGAAGTCTGGCAGCAAGTCGGTCCACAGCCATCATCCCAACGTTGTGACGTGTGCCATCCATACCGTGGTTGCCAAGGCCAACTATCTGCAACCAATAATATACATTTTCATTTATAAATCATGTGGGAAATGCTGACTCTCTTAAGAGTGATGGTGAATTCTATATTTTCATGATCAGATAGTAACCCTACTATAGGCTGCAAAAACCAGAACAACAAACAAGCAGTTAGAAAGATTATTGTAGTCTATATAAATGGTAGTATGTTCTTTCACAAGTTGAGGATTCATTGCATCAGATGAAGAAAGGAAAGGCAGACAACACCACATTGGAAGAAACTGAAGCTTTGGAATATTTTGGAACTGAAATAATAACAAAATTGATAAATGACATTTATAATAGTAGGAAGATTCCTAATAACCAGTTAAAATCTAAATTTATTGCTCTGCCTAAGAAACCAGGCACTTTAAAATGTGCAGACTACTCCTGCACAATAAGTCTTATGAGTCACATGACAAAAATGTTACTGAGAATAATTATGAGAAGAATAAGAAACAAGATTAAACAAAAATTAGTGAAGAACAGTGGATTTGTAGAAGGAAAAGGTACAAACAATGCCATATATGATATACATCCTCAGGGCTCTTTTGGAAAGAGCTATAGAAGTAATATTTTTTTTAAATGCTCTTTTCTTATGTTTCACAGACTACACAAAAGCATTTGAGTGTGTGAAACATGAAGAAGTAATCAAACTATTGAGAAAAAAAATTAAACACTGATGGAAAGGATTTTTGAATTATAAAGAACATGTATTGGCAGCAAACAGCAGCTATCAGAAATAATAACCATAAAGAGGCAGTACGACAAAGATGTGTACTAAACCATAAAGAGGCAGTACGACAAAGATGTGTACTAAACCATAAAGAGGCAGTACCACAAAGATGTGTACTAAACCATAAAGAGGCAGTACCACAAAGATGTGTACTAAACCATAAAGAGGCAGTACCACAAAGATGTGTACTAAACCATAAAGAGGCAGTACCACAAAGATGTGTACTAAACCATAAAGAGGCAGTACCACAAAGATGTGTACTAAACCATAAAGAGGCAGTACCACAAAGATGTGTACTAAACCATAAAGAGGCAGTACGACAAAGATGTGTACTAAACCATAAAGAGGCAGTACGACAAAGATGTGTACTAAACCATAAAGAGGCAGTACGACAAAGATGTGTACTAAACCATAAAGAGGCAGTACGACAAAGATGTGTACTAAACCATAAAGAGGCAGTACCACAAAGATGTGTACTAAACCATAAAGAGGCAGTTCCACAAAGATGTGTACTATCACCTAATTTGTTTTCATTGTACAGTGAAATATATAATGAGATCTATCCCCTGTTTTCATTGTAAAGTGAAATATATAATGAGATCTATCCCCTGTTTTCATTGTACAGTGAAATATATAATGAGATCTATCCCCTGTTTTCATTGTACAGTGAAATATATAACGAGATCTATCCCCTGTTTTCATTGTACAGTGAAATATATAATGAGATCTATCCCCTGTTTTCATTGTACAGTGAAATATATAATGAGATCTATCCCCTGTTTTCATTGTACAGTGAAATATATAATGAGATCTATCCCCCGTTTTCATTGTACACTGAATGTATAATAAAATCTATCACTGATAAACAGCCTGCGTTGTGCTGATGACACCATCTTGATAGCGACAAGTCAGAAATATCTGCAGCAATTAATAGATACGGTGGTGGTAAAAAGTGATAACATTTGCCTCAGTTTTAATCAGGGAAATACAGAAATAATGGTGATTTCCAAGAAAAGAATAGTGCCTAACTGTATAATAAGAGTCAAAGGCGTTATTTTAGGACAAGTACAGAAATTTAAATACCTGGGCACATGGATAACATGCAATGGAAGATGTATCACATAGATAAAGAACCCATAAGATGTATCACAGAGATAAAAGAACAGAACAGGACAGACCAAAACTGCCTTTTATAAAAATGAAGAACATTTTGTGCAATAAATTCATGTCATTGGAGATTGTCTTGTCTTGTCCACAATTGCCTCACAGCGTAGTGGGGAGTCGCAGTTTTCTATCCTGGGCCAGGTGTGTTGCACGTGTTGTTGTTAGTCCGTGTTGCCTCAGGATCTCTGATATATTGTCTATCCATCGTACTCTCGGTCTGCCTCTTGCTCTAGCGCAGTAGTGCTGTTCGTTGTATGCTCGTAGAGGCAGTTGGTCGGTTTGCATTCGCATCAAGTGGCCAAACCACTCTATTTGTTGCTTCTTTATGTATTGCAGGGATGGTGTGGTTCCTACAATTGATCTAATGTTCTCGTTTCGAACTCTGTCTCTCCTTGTGACATTGGCAGCCTTACGTAAGCATCTCATTTCGCACGTCGTGATCTTTTTCTCCTGTGCTCTTGTTAGGGACCAGGTTTGGCATTGGTAGCAGAGGGTAGGTATAAATATGCAATTTATCAGTTGTCGTTTTAGTGCCATAGTGATGCTTGGGTGTTTTAGCAGTGGGGAGAGTTGGTAAGTTACTGCGTTCGCCTTTTGACATCTTGCTTCAAGTTCCCTATCAATTCTTCCATTGGAGATTAGGAAAATAATTATCGCAAGCTATATAGAAGTGGCTTTAACATACGGCTGTGAATCCTGGACAATTAAAAAACAAGCTGAACAATATCTTTAGGACTCAGAGATCTGGTTTTACAGGGAACGAAACAAATGACATACTTACCTTTCATCATACGGTTGCGTGTACGGTTGCGTAGTCATCATGCGGTTGCGTAGGGTGTAGGGTTTGGGTTAGGGATAGGGTTAGGGGTAGGGTTAGATGTTAGGGTTAGAATTAGGGTTAGGGTTAGATGTGAAAATTTTGACGTAGGAGTTCCAAATACTGGCCGACAATGTGATGCTTGTGGGAGTGGCGCCACTGGAATTCTCCTAAATATGACGGCAACAGCGCGCGGCTGGTGCCCAAGTGATGGCGAATTGTCCGTTTGAGTAGCATCCACAGTCCTTCAATTGTTTAGGAGTGTATGTCACTGTGTGCGGTTATTTAGAACTTCTGCATCAAAATTGTCACATCTAACCCTAACCCTACCCCTAACCACGCAAATTTATCGGTCATTAAATCATACAGATCTGCAGGAGTCACATCCGTGGCAACTAATACCACTTTTATATAAGGATATATTTACTTTAAAAAAAAAAACCAGATTTCCCTGAAACGTCAAATAAACACCCAGATCTGGGGGAAACACCCAAGCATTGGAAGCCCTGTTGTCGACCTTACTGTCTTTTTGGATTCGTGACTTTTCCGCTCCGTGTTGCACTGCAACCAAGGGAGAGAACTCCCACTAAGTCCACTAAGTTGACTAAGCGATCGGAGGCTTTCCAGCTAATGATCTGTATTTAAAGGAGAGCCTAAGCTTTTAATAAATCAAGTGGTAAAAATTATATATGAAACCACAAACCATAAAATGTCTCATTTCTGGATCTATAACTGTCTCCGCTGTGTTTGTTGATGAAGAAAATTCAGAATGACTGCCTTTATTTAATCTGGACAACAAGAATGGAACGCGAAGAGAAGTCCGCACCGAGTCGGTGACTGACTGCACCATCAATGACAATACCGCATTCATCTCGCTGTGCTGGTGTTTATATAGCTCCGATCGCTCGGAATAACTAAAATTTGAAAATACAATTTCACGTATTTGTGAAATCTGTCAAGCAATGATGCAATTCAACGACATGTGAACCTGACGACTTGTATGTAAGTTATATCATTTGTCCTGGATCTTGCACAAGCAATTCTTTTCGATTACATTTTTCTTGTCTGCTGCATGGGCTATCTCAAAACTTTGTCATTTACAACGGAAAGAAATATATGAAACCTTCCCTTGATTCAAAGAAATAGCAAACATTCAATTTGCATTTAGAGTTTTCAAATAATAAAAATTGTGTGTATAATTTTTAACAGCAGAGAACATGTTGCCACAATTAACTTTTGTATTTGTTCTATTTAAATTATAATTAATAGTTTAAAATGACTATATACATCTAATGTAAACGACACTTTTTCCACGCCTGTAAACGTACTGAGAGTGATGTCGTAAATATAACAGGGCCGTCTTTACTCTCCATGATTTTGCCAAGTACCCAGTTAAGGCCCAACTGATCGATTTGGTCGAGGATAAAAATATCGAGTTCCATTAAAACCTGAACCCATGTCCTTTAGATCAACAGACTAGCGTCTACCCGGTACACCACTGCGGTTTCCCACCTCTTATGTTGAAGAGCTTACATGCCGATTTATAGAATAAAATAAGATGTAGGATTTCGAGTACATCGTCGTCGTCATCATCATCAATTTCCACTTCTCCCATTAAGCGCCAGGTGTTTGGAAGAATATTGACATTTGCCTTGGTGGTGCGAAGAAGTAAAAGAAGAAATTAAAAAGAAAAAAGACTTATATAAACAGTGGATAAAATCAAAGAAAGAAGAAGATTATATAAACTATAGACTGCAAAGGAGAGAAACCAACAGGAGTGTCAAAAAAGCAAAACAAGCATCCTGTGAACGTTTCGGTGAGTCACTAGCAGAAAATGTGAAAACAGCCAGCAGAAAATTTTTCAAAGTAGTTAAAAATATGCGGAAAAGAGATGAGAGCTACAACCCCACTGAAATAATTAATGATAAGACAGGAAGGCCATTGATAGATCCACCCGAGATAGCAGAAAGATGGAGGGAATACTTCAATGAGCTCTTTAATCCTCTAGGAGATCATCAGGAAAGAGCAACTGGAGAGCACAGAGCAACAGTGTTAGAACCACACATACTAATGGATGAAATAGAAAAAGTCATTAAACAGTCTCCCAAATATAAAGCACCAGGAGCTGATAGATTACCAACAGAAATAATTCAAGCAGCAGGTGAAAGCAGCATCAGATGGCTTCACAGAATATTCAATGCAGCATGGGTACAACAAACGGCCCCAATTGATTGGCAACATGTAGTTATACCATTGTGGAAGAACAAAGGAAGCAAACGAGAATGCGGTCAATATCGAGACATCTCTCTTTTAAGCCATGTTGGCAAAATGTATGCCAAGATAATAGAAACAAGACTGAGACCAGTGATAGAACCACAGCTGGCAGAAAAACAGATGGGATTTAGGAGAAATAGAAGCTGCACAGATGCAATCTTCACACTTAAACAGTTAATAGAAAAGAACATTGAATACAATAAGAACTTATTTGTGGCATTCGTAGACCAGGAGAAGGCATTTGACAGAGTCGACAGACAATTATTATGGAAAATAATGGCAAGATATGGAGTAAGCGAACACCTCATCGAAGTGTGCAAAAGTTTATACAGGGATTGTAGAAGTGTAGTTAGAATAAATCAGGGAACATCTCATCCTTTCACAGTGACATCTGGAGTAAGACAGGGGTGTGTCTTATCACCACTGCTGTTTATCACCTACATCGACAGTATATGCAAGAATGCCAAGCCCATGAATGAAGATCTTAGTAAGATCAACGAATTACTCTTTGCAGATGACCAGGCCTTGATAGCAGATACAGCCATGAAATTGCAACAACATCTAACATCCATGAATGAAGAATGTAAAACAAATAATATGAGAATCAACACTGAAAAGACAGAAGTAATGTCAATAGGAAAAAAGAAGACAGATCTAAACATAGCAATAGAATACAAAGGCATTAAACAGGCATCTGAGTTTAAATATCTGTAACTACATTTACCGAAGATGGGAAATTGGATAAAGAAATTGACATTAGATGCAGTAAAGCAAACCAAGTATTGGGGCAGCTAGCCCCCCTCTTACCGCATAAGACAATCCCAATCAGCACAAAAAGACATCTTATTCGAAGCAAATTTATTCCAACTCTGTGCTACTAGTGCCAGACATGGTCACTCACAACAAACCATAAAAGAAAATTAGTAACCACGGAAATGAGATGTCTGAAAAGGGCTGTAGGAGTGACCATAAGAGATAAGATCAGGAATGAGATCATAAGAGAACAAGTCGGCACAGAACCAATTCTGGATTACATACAAAGACAGCAAGTAAAATGGTTTTCCCACTTAGAGAGAATGCCTTGTGACACCATACCATACAAAGCATACATGGAAAGAGAAGAAGGACGTAGAGCACGGGGTAGACCAAGAACAAGATGGAAGGATAACATCAGAGAAACTCTACAACAGCACGATGTGCCTATGGTCGAGGCAGCCAGAAGAGCTAGAAACAGAACCTTATATCTCCCTCGACACCCACAGCGGTAAAAGAGGAAGTGAAGAAGAAGAAGAATGATGTTCTTGCATGTAGACAGGGGAGGGATAGGCAACGGATTGCCCAAGAACTGCAGGCAACTGTAGACAAAGTGACTGACTGGTGTGCAGAAATGGGTGCTGTCATCAACTAAGAAAAGGCGGCTGCTTTGTAATGCTCTCTGGGCAAAAGAATTGAAAGAGCTGGTGTTCCAAGCATCACAATTAATAACAGTAACATCAAAAGAGAAAGCAAACTGAGGTACCTAAGTATCACTGTCGATAGAAGCCTTTCCTATAAGGATCACGTGGAGGCAGGTGCGGTGAAATGTCAAAAAGGACTCAATGCTATCAAGATTGTGGCAACAATGGACATGGAACAAAGAATGCTGTTCACAACGTTCCATCATGCGATCTGTCAGTGAAGGATTATGGACTGAATGCTTACCATGTCAAAGAGTCAGCTGATAAAACTCAAACGCATTCAGAATGAATCTATGCGGGTGATTCTGAGATATACAAGAGATACCCCCAGTATTATGAATGCGATATATACTTGCACTGCCTACTATTGCAGATAGGCTCAAAGTTCTGCAGGCAAAGCCGTATCTCAGAGTAGCTGCAGACAAGAAACACCCCCTACATGAATCCGTGGGTAGATGTCATAGGTTGAAAAGAGGAAGGTCTTGGAAAGGCGCAAGCTAAAGACACCGTTAAACTTGAATGCAAGCTTGATATTTGAATTTTAACATATTGACAGCCACACCTTCGCCTGTTTACATATAGATGACGCATACAAAACAAATTGCATTGTAAACAATAAACAAACAAACAGTATATTGATCGGCACTAAAATAAAGAAGTAAAAAGATAAAAGGACACACTAGACAACATCGAAATCGGCAGCTATAGTTACTGTACCGAGAATCGAATCTGTCACCTTCAATTGGCTTATGCGCCTCGCTATAGAAACAAGTGTACTAAGACGCGTGACCCAATAGGCACACCCGAAGAGAAAAAAGTTGACTTAATGCGGCAAAGACTGGCCTTGCTTTACTTTTAGTGAAGCCTAATGTGTGAACGTCTTTAAAACAGCTCACCACCAAGTAGCCCTGAAAAGGACTCTTGCTGTACCCACTAACCGTCATCCCCTTGTGGGATGCAGTTTTTCGTTATTTTGAAGCCCCGCCTTGGCTGTTGTCAGGGGCCGCAATATAGCCTGACGGTTGAACGCGGATTCCTGGACCTCTCCACGGGTGATCCTCATCCGCATAGTAGCACTTTGTGTCACCAGGTGTTTATCGCTCTGTGTGATATCCTGGTGGGGTGAAATTGACTTACTTTACTCTTGCTGTGTTAATGCCATGCCCCTACCACTTTCACATTGGCTAGCCAACAGGTCGGCTGGTCACGTATGAAATACATGCAGTGATTGACTGACTTTCTACCCCCACCAGGACATCACACAAGCGATAAACACCCGATGACACAATGTGCCACCATGTTGGTGAGGATCACCGTGGAGAGGTCCCAGAAACCGCGTCCAGCCTTTAGGCCATATTTATGGCCAGGCTATATTGCGGCCCCTGGAATAGCCAGAGTAACGAATACTTTCATCCTAAAAAGGACGGGAAGTGATATTGTAGTACAAATACATGCAGTGAAGGCCTGCAGTTTATAGCTGACCTAAACATGTTTTCCCGCAACTGTTGACATTTTCTAGAAAGCAGTTGTTTACGTTTGCCTGACTAAGATCTAAAGATAGCAGCAAGGCTTTTCCGCACGTGACGCGGGGCTATGTTTAGTAACACATAATGTCATCAGGGTTGCCATATTGGCATTTTTTATGCCAGATTCTTCAAATTTGGCATATTTGAAATTGAACTGGCATAAGATAATGAACTGGCATATTTTGGCACATTTGGGTTTTTCCTGGCAATGTAGACCTACAGTTAACATCTTTATTTCAGTTTGACTTTGTTGTGATATCCTGGTACTGACTAATGGAGATTCGCGCCATTTCTTATTGTATTTGTTGTCTTCTTAAATTGATCGAGACTTCGATAAACCAATTTAAAATAAACTGTAATTTATGTTAATCTACTAAAATAAATGCGGGATATAAAACCAAAACCCACCACTGATATAAAGTGATTCAGACTGTTCAGACTTTTACCAATGGCCACATCATCTAAAAATAAAATGAAAAGCATCTTATGACATTGCAAGTATAATAGTAACTGGAATAAAACATACCCACGGCTCAAAAGATCTTCAGACGGATCAGAGGCAGCATACTGCAAACTGTGTCAGTGCACTGTTTGCACCAAGAATTAGTAGCATT